GTCTTCCAAACCCCTTTTCTTCTTTTTGTTTTTCTCTCTGTTTCTTAGCTGCCACGAGAGAGCAGCTCTCTCCACCATGATATTCTGCAGTGGCACAGGCCCAGAAATAATGGAGCCATGTGACCATGGATTGAAACCTTGGAAACCGTGAGCCAGAATACACCCTTGCTCCTTTAAGTCATTATTTCAAGTACTTTGTCACAGTGATGAAAAATTGAACACAAGTGTCAAGATTTCCCCTTCCTAGTCTATATATTATGTATAATCCCTGTGGTGGTGGGTTTAATAATATGATTAGTCACTCCTATAATTAGGTTAGTGTTTCATGGACAATTACCTTTCAGCAAGGGGGATTATCTTTGGTGGGTCTTGCCTAAACAGCTGAGCCCTTAAACATGGCTAGCCTATTACTGAAAAAAGGAGATTTTAGGTATGGGAGAGTTTCACCCCAAGAGAGATTCTGCACTAATGATTTAAAGATGGAGGGGCCATGGAAAGTGGCCACTAGAAATAGAAAGCCAGCTAGAAAGTAAGGGCTTTAGTCTTCCAAGTACAAGCTGAATTCTACTAACAACTCGATGAGCTTGGAAGTGGATTCTTTTCTGCAGCTTCCAGATGAGAACTCAGCCTCACTGGAACTTTGAGGCTGAGACACCTACTAGAGAACCCAGGTGGCTGATCTGTTCTTCTGACCAACTGAACTGAGAGCTTAAAAAATCAGTGTTGCTTTCCACTTCCAAGTTCGTAGCAATCTGTTATGCCTCAGTAGAAAATGAAGAAACTAATACAATGACATGCCAATTAAATGTGACTTAGAATTTTCTAAAAATGAAATCTTCCTTTCCTTTTCTAAAGCCTCAAGCTATTTCCTCACCTTGCAGTTACTAAATGCAATTGGGAACATGTGATTTTTGTCAGATTAAAATTTCTTCCTATCACAGAATTACCCCACCCTCAGTTGATTAAAGATATAGAAGCATATGGATTTGTGGTACATTACATACATTTTTGGGCTGGAGAATCAAACCAGAAGACACAGACTTCAAAAACTAAAGCAAATGATCTGTATATTTTGAAGTAACCCAGATATGTTTCACTCCTTGCATCTAGTTATCTTCAAACACAGTAACCTTGACATAATGGTTGAAGAAAAAGGAGAAGCAATGTAAGTATAAATGCCTGAGCATGTTACTATCTTTTATCAATAAACATTACTAGAATGCCATGCATTTGAATTCATGCTTTTCCTGAGGGAAACCTGCATTCTGCCTTCTGCTTCCTGCCAGTGCAGCTGGATCTGATTACAAGGGTAGGGTGTGCCACGGGAAGCGGGCCTAAACTTTCGAAGCTACAAAAGGCAGGCTGCTCTTCATTAATTAGATGGTGAGATTATGCAGACCAACCACTGAATTATTATCTGTAACATGGTGAAAAACACTATTATGTGGCTTGTTGATAATCCACCTACATGCTTTAGGTAAGCCTTATTTGCTTAGCTATTCCATCAGCCACAAGGCAGGGTTTGGTGTCAAGGCAAAAATCTGATCATGTTGTGACTTTGTGGTTGGTGGTGGAGGGAATGCTCTGCAACAAAAGGAACTGAGAGTCCTGTGTGATGTCTTTCTAGCATTTAACTCAGAAAAAAAGGTCATCTCCAGCATAGCTTAATACAGTGCTACTACATAATGCAGACAAGTGAAAATATTAACAAGTCAATGATTCATAACGAAGACTCACTATTTAAAAACCATATTTTCTGCCTCTAAAAGCCATGGAATTAGATTAAGAGAGAGACCACCTAATTTTAGATTTAAGCAAATGTGTACAATGAATTTTAGAATGAAGAACAAGTCTGTGGTCACAAAAACCTCACCTGAATAATGATGAACTCTTTTAATAAAAAGGAAGAACTCAAGAAAAGAAAATTTAAAAGACTATAATCTAGACAAACTTTAAAATTAAAGACTCCAGGTAAATCATGACTTAGCTTTAACCAACATTAACCAAAATTTTCCAAGGTGCTAAATTCAGCTCTAAAGAAAAGCTCTTACAAAGCTATTATACGACGTAATTATCATCCTTATCTGCTTCTACCTGTGTCATTGCTATGTATATAATTATGCTGAGGGAAAACACTCCAAGCTCAAATGAAATAAAGGGTTTCAGTTTATGCCCACACGGACCTTGTCAAGTAGCCAATGACTTGGCCTTTCATTGTGAGTGACTAATATCAATGCTGGCTCTAAAGAAAGACACATTTCATAATCGCCCAACAATCTGCTAAGTGAAAACATATGGATGGGCTTACGCAAAGCCTGCCAGGGGTCTTTGCTGAATGGAAAACAGGTGCTCTCATTCTGTGCCATGTAATACCCCATTTACCCCCAAGTCCAAAGGTTATAGGACTAATAGCTGCCTTGTGGTAATCAGGGAAAGCCAAGACACTAGCCCTGGTGAAACATCTGGGACATATTTTACATACTTGCGACACATGCTTCAGGTTCAATTAAAGTGAGGCTTTGGCACATTTATTAATCTTTTTTACTTTTATCCTATAAGAGGACCCACTGACCTGACCCCACTATTATACCATATGAGAAAACAGAGAAATAATGAGAGGTAGAGGTCAGTACCTGCTCGTATGGCAAAAAACACATTTGTTTTCTCATGAAATTCCATTACGCATGACTCTATACACAAACTTTAAAGACAGGAACCAATGAATTTTTTAAAGGAGGAAATTCCCCTTCTCCCATTTGGACACACTGATAGCCAAGGCTTACTACAGTCACTGCTGTGAGTCAGTCCAGACGGAAGCTGGTAAATGGAAGCTTGCAGGAACCTTTCATATTTCCACATCTTATAGTAAAAACTTTACATTTCAAGATGTCCACTGTTAGATTCTCTCTTCTATTAGGCAAGAACTTAAAAGTCTGTCTGTCATAAATTACTACATTGGAGACTCTTTGTTCCAATATCATTTTTTAGGCTATCAACTGTGTTATGAGCAAAAAAAGAATCTTGCAAATAACTCAAGTAAAAGGGTTAGAGTTATGAAAAAATCAGCTTATAATCATTTCACATGGGAAACACACTGTCAGCATCCCATACAGAATACGGTTGCATTCACACAGCAGTTTAAGCACTCACTTTCAATCAACTTTGGTAACTAGATCTGAAAATGTGTTAGACCCAGGGTGTCAGTTTCAGGCAACCAAACACTAGATTACAATAGATGCTACTCTGGAGATTTGGTGGTGTTTTCACCCTGGCACGTTCCACTTGACATCTATGTTTTGGTGAGCCACTGAACCAGGTGTGTTTATTCGTGTCCCGTACCCCAAATCTCTCCACAAAAACGTGACCATTAAAAGGGGAAAGTAGAGGTATAGAATATCAACAAACGGGTAAAAAGAAAACACGGGCTGACTTCGAGCAGGGGCACTGAAGTACTAGACTTTGCTGAGGGCTTCCATTTATTAACATTTCTGGGGAAACGCCTGCTACCAGAATGGATCTTTATGGTGGCTTTAATAATAAAGCAGCAACAAGCAAGGGAAAATGGCCATAAATGGATGGCTGCTCAGTGTTTATCAGCAGAGAAATGATGATTCAGAGCTGGCATGTGGAGTTAAAATACAAGCTCTCTACAGCTCTACCACTGACCTTAACAATAAATCATATCATTTATTGCCAGAAGTGTATGCTCATGTTATTTAACATTAAAAAACAAGCACATATGTGTTTTTTGCACGAAGGAAATTTTGTTAGTGTATGTTTGATAATGTCGCTAATGACTAAATGATATACAGGAGAAAAATTTCACATAAAAGCTCCATCAATTTAAAAATGTTTGAGATAGCATTAGAAAGGAGAGAAGGGAGAGAAAGTGTGTTTTTCCATTTTCTGTCAAGCGCTGAGTATTAGGGAAAAATCATTTGTGAGGTTACTTAATCACTGTGAATTTTTCTGACATTTCTAATGCTTGCTTCCAACACAACACTGGGATATAACTGTACATCTGTACTGGAATCAAAGGTCAAGGGCATAAATTAAAACACTGATTTTCTCCTTTCTTCAAAAAATCTCCTTGCTTTACTATAACAGAAGTCGGACAGATTTTTGTGAAGGTCAAATTCTGATTTCATATGCAAACAATATGCAGATAATTCATGATATGGTCGTCCCTGTCGCCTACTTCACCTTAGGACTTTGTAGTCTTTAGGTCTAAAGCAGCCAGAGACCACAATATAATAGTATCACCATCCTTCTTGCTATTCTTCCAAACCCAGCTAATTGTGGCAGTGGTGGAAAAGTTGCTCTTATTCCTTCCTTTAGTTGTCCCCTCTCCCCAGAAGACAACCAATTCAAGCAGTCCTAGAAACCAGCTGTTATCTACTGCGGTCACCAAGCCCAAGGCAACCAGCAGTGGAGAAAGGAGTGTGACTGAATGGACTTCGGAGCCCTTCCCAACCTAGGCAAAGGCACTGAGCACCGGGGCTGTTTAACTGTCTTCCTGTGCTCTGGACACACATGTATTCTTCTGCTGAGCAATTCTTCGAAAATTGCAGATGACAATATCCAGGTTCAACTTGTGCAAGCTGCTGTTTTTTCACACCCCTCTTCCCCCTAAGCATAAACCGATTTGTAATACTCAAGATAGGACAAATTTTTGCCCTTCAAAAGCAGTTGTCACTGCCATTATCTTCACGAGACCTATCAAGTTCCAGACAAGCTGGATTTTTTTCTTTCTTCCTTTTTTTTTTTTTTTTCTTTCCTGGCAGAAAAATATTTGACCCAGCTCTGGACCAAAGCAAACAGGATTTATAACCCTCTCTCTCCCTCTTTGCAACATGCAGTGGCATTGTTAGGATGATAAACAGCACTGTCCAATTTCCTGGACTCAAACACTTCAACTTCTTTTTTAACTGCCTGTGAAAACAGTGTCATGCCCACATGTCCCCATCCCCAGGTACCCCAGTGCCGGGAAGGGTAATTACCTTGTCATCTTTGTCATCTCCTTCTTCCTCGTCCTCTAGCATGTCCTCCACTACCTGCAGACAGAAACAGAAGTGGTGTTTGTGCTCTTTAAAGGAGAGAATTGTGTTCTGTCACTTTGAACCTTTCCGAAAGGAAAACTTTATTAGCATTTGAAACACAATGCACTGGACGAAAGTGTTTGTTCTAGAGATGGAGATTAGGAAAATGCTCTGCTTCTAATTGATTGAAACCAGGGAACCAAAGCCCCTGGTGGTGGTGGTGGTGGTGGTGGTGGTGGGGAATCCTATTCATGTGAAATGTTTTCTGACAAAGAATTCAAAGTATGCGCAAGGTAAACTAACATTAATTTGTGGAATGATTTACATCAGGAAACCTCCCTCCTACCTATTCTGCTGACTATGTTAATCAGTTCCTTTAAATTCAGAGCTAGGTAACCAGGCATGAAGCAGCTCTGCTATTTCTAATTTACGTTTCACCAAACTCTAAGGTGAAAAAAAACTCTCTGGTAATTGATTCATGCTGGTGGTCTATGGCGTAAAACCAGAGATATCTTATGTAGCTCACTTTTAATTCTTATCTATGGAGTCATTTTTTGACTATCTCTATTATGTTTTGATTTTGTGGCTTGCCTTAAACTCTCATTTTGATTCTCTATAATTTTATTCAAGGATTATTTTATAAACTCGGATATTAAAACAAAATTAGAGATGTATTCTACAACAAATGTGTATAAAGTATAGGTGTAACCCATGTAGGTAGATACATGTGTATTTTTTCAATGGCTCTTAGTTCACCTACCTCAGTAGAATGGAATAGTCATTTTACATTTGAAAATAATTTCCCTTTGTCTTGATCAAAATATAAATGTGGGCATTAAGGATCAGACTTCATTTCAGCTGGGTTTTTGAATAGTTTCACACACATGCATAAATACACATGCATTCCTTGAAAACCAAAAATATAAAAACCTCTGAGATGAGGGGGTTGTTATTCAGGGGAGTCCCAACTTATTGTACTTATGACATTTTACATAATTTCTAAATTCTTATGGTGTTTTTTTCTAATGCAGTCTGAATATAACTAGAATCATGGTTATCAAATATTTTAAAACCTCTCTCTAAGCTCATAACTTTAGAAAATAGAGACACGAAACCCTTCTTTCATGTGATTTTTCAATACCCACAGGAATAGCCTGAGTGAAAACTTCAATAACCAAGGCTGTATTATGCAAGGGGTTGTATAAACTGAGGCAATATGTCTCAGTTATTTCTAATATTTTTGTGGAATATTTCAAAAGTATTAAGTGACTTAAAAGACTATCTGAAACTTTATCACCCAATATATAATCCAAAGCATCTGAAAAATCTGCAAAATTGTCTCTAATTTAATGTACAATTCATTTATCTATTAAAGCATAGGATTCTGTAGTCTTTCACTTGGACATGAAGCATTTTGGAATAATTACAGCAGTACAACATGCTGTCTCTAACGTATGCTGAGAGCTCACACTAATTTGGGAACATACAAAGCAATTCAACCTCAAAGAGAATGATGAACTCTTGATATTCTCTCTAACTATATTCAGCCACCCCATAAGCATTTAGTATTGACCCTCTTGTTCAAGGCACACAGAACTAGGTGATATGGGAATACAAAAATAAATAACACATAGATATAAGTGGGGACTATCAGACAAGCCTCCATATTGACTTTTAATTTTCTCGCATTTGCAGTATTCACATCACAAATATGATGACGATATATATAATCCAGGTGACAGGTGCCAGGCTCTTCCAAATTGGGCCTTTTGCAATGGAGGCATAAAAAGTGGGAGCAGCCACAATGCTTCCATACATCAGGCTGCATCAAGAGAATTCACCTGACCCTCATAACATTAAAAACAAATATATTTTTGTACCTGTAATATGATTACCTTTAAAATTTTAAATTTAAATGAACTAATTCTTTTTTGCTAAAAGTATCCACGTAGAGTCACATGAAATATGTCAGGGAGAATGAAATGAACACTGTATTTTTACTGTTGTGATCAAACTCCAGTAATACTGTGGTTAGTTATCACTAGAAGTGATCCGATACCTCATCTCTGTAGTACTCACTACTCACAGTGAAGGCTCACTGCAGGCAGAATGGTACAGAATTGTGCCTACACTAGAAGGTACATCAGGGGTGTTCAAGAAATACGTTTTATTGAGCGAATACATGCATATATTATCAGTGCTTCTTCGAAACACTCACTGGTAAACCATCTATCCTTTATTTTATAGGCTGGGCTTTGTTCTCTGGGAGAGACATCTCATCCATGATGTGGATTAACAAAGTAACATATTCCAAATGCTTCCAAATATTTGTCCAGAAATATCTGAATACTTAATCTTTATTTGAAGGCATGGGGATTCTCCACTCTCTTTCCTGTTCATCTTTAAAAATTCAAAGCCTCTAGCTTCATGTACACATGGTTCGAATCAGCTGTGACTCTTACACTCAAGTATGACTCAAAGAAGTCTACAGAATTAGGCTATTTGCAGAACCCAAACTTCTTACCCTGCACAAGTGAGTAATTGGCTATGCACAATTGCTCCACAAATGTGCAGACAGAACCACCCAATACAGCCATTCGCTTTTCCATTTGGCAGAAAAGTGTTGTGTTAGTGAGGGCCTTTGTGTTGTGTTTTAGCACTCTAGTGAGAGCTTTTCCCTCCTCCAGTGCCTTTTTAATGTTACATCATAAACATCTATAAGTGAGGATTTATACTACAGATGGCTTCCTATTGATGCCTTTAAGCCACTTCAGAATGGTTCCCCTATTACATTTTGTTCAGGTGAAGCTTCAGATGCCTTGGAAAATGGAGATGCTAAAAGTGCCTGTCCCACCGGGCTGGCTCGGTTGGATGAGATCACGTAAGTACAGAGCCCAGCACAGTTCCTGTCCCAAAGTAAGTTTTCAAAATCATCAGTTATAAATACAAATAAAATACCCATGCAATATTTTCAACATGAATTCTTGGAAATTAAATTCTATCATTTTCTGTCCTGGGCAAAATATCCTGTGTTCTTAAGGCCATAAAATTTCAATTCATTCTTTCATTGACGCTGAGCAACACATGTAGGGGTGCAGGTAGAGGTGTGGATAAAGATTCCACATTAAGACAGTGCTTTCACTTGTAATCTTTCTGCTTTAATGGTCCAGTGAAATGGTCGGCTGAGAGGGCAAGAATGTTGCAGAAGCTGAGCTGAGTTTTGACACATAAGCTCCAGCCAAATGCAATGAATATAGAAACTGCAAACTGAGCTTTTAAAAACAAACTACGTATCACTGAAGTGCATTTCATGACTACACAAAATTGCAACTCTTCCCAGAGAACTCAAGTAACACCTGCTATTTAAAAAGAGTGCTGGAGTTTAACACTTAAATAAGGAAAATAAATAAAACACAGGAGTCCTTCTCTTAAATTCCAGCTCTTTCCTCTTCGAATAAAGCCAAATAACCACGACATAGTTTTGTTTCGAAGTCTGATTGCCCAAACGTTTGTCAGCACTAATTTAATAACACACACACACACACACACACACGTAGGATTTCCTTCAGGGGAATAAAAACATGAAAAGACTGACGAAAAAAATGAATGTGTTAGAAAAGATACATTTACAAAGTTGGGGTTTTTTCTTCTTTTTTTCTTAAGGGAGAATATCTCAGCTCGGCTCTGGAATTCTCTTTCCAAATTAGGCTTTCTGATACCTTGCTTGAAACCAAGTAGTATTAATCAAACAAAGGAAGGGCACCAGGGAAATCAGAAAGATGTAATGCAAGCAGTTAAAAGTGACATGACCTTCTGTAATGTCGCTCGTCACAGACTTATATGCCACACACTGCAGGAAGGTCTTGAAAGAAACTGATTCTTGGTATTATTCCTTGAATGTAATACTAATAAAGATGACATTTCAAAAAACACACATAGACAGCCCCAAATGCACTGTGTGCCAGCTATATTACAGCCAAAGGATAAGCTGATAACATTATTTTAAAAGCATAATATTTCTTCTTCCATATTCAATATTTGCTGAACATGTCATTAACATATAAAAGACAAAACATGGCCATACATTTTAAAACACCATTTTCAAAATGGGGAAAACTTGCATCTACAGAACTTATGTATCTTGTGATAGTTGTGGGAGGTTCTTTCACTATTATAAGACTTAATTGTAACCTAACACAACCAAATACTTTGTGATCTAAGATACAAAAAAAATGATAATAATGATGGTAATTTGAATAAAACTATGACAACAAAGAATTATTCTAGCAGACAAAGATGTATATGGGAGATGAACAGAAGGAGTCAAGGAAAAGAAGGTCAACACAGTGGAAAAATAAGAAAAAGAAGATTCAGGTAAATGTCACTGTAAAAAATCATCACAGTACAGTGGATATTAATTATTGCTTTTTAATACTAAGTCAGGGTGCATGTCTAAACCCAACATTACAGGAGGGAGTCAAGAAGTACTTGAACAATTCTTAAAACACCTTGTGTTCTGATTTTCCCCAGAATAATGTCTTCCACTTATTTGAATTCCTTTAAGCAAAAAAGAACCAAAAGAATCTTGGTTACGTTAACCTTGTTAAATACTGAGTAATGTGAAGCCAAGGCTGACAGAAACTGATTTCTTTTGTATGTTTACTTTTTTTCCTTGAAAATAATCTTTGAATTAAATGGGTGTTTTTCTATGCTCAGAATGAATAGTTGCACAATTCAAATTGCTTTGCTCAAACACGGTCTATAAAAAAGCAGCACATTTAAATTAAAGAAGAAATCACTGCTGTCCAGATGTGCAATGTTAAAATATTAAAGGAAGAAAATAGTCACAAAAGAAGTTTCATATTTAATTTTATATTTATAGAGCATCCAAATGTGTACAGATGCTTATGTTTTTATACATCACAAACTAAATACCTACTTCCACCCCAGAGATATGAAAGAATTAGGGGAGAGTGGCATTCTTCAACACATGCTGGAGTTTATTTAGATCCTCG